TGTCAAGCATCGCGAGGGCTCCTGCACGCAAGCCCGCACTGTTTCTTCTCGCCAGGATGGGTTTCCCCTGCCCCACATACCCCACGCTGCCGCCCTGCAGTGGGAGGACCCAGGCCGGGTCTCCTGGGAGAACAAGCGCAGGGCCTGTTTAGCCACAGCGGCACCATCCTATCATTTTTCTTTTCTGAGCCAGAGTCTCCCTCTGTCGCCCAGACTGGAGGGCAAGGCCATGCTCACGGCCACTGCAGCCTCAGCCTGCTGGGCTCCGGTCCTTCCACCTCGGCCTTCCAAGGAGCTGGAGCCACAGGCATGCACCACCACGCCAGGCTAATCTTCTGATTGATTGCAGAGACGAGGTCTCGCCAAGCGGCCCGGGCTGGTCTCCAACCTCTGGGCTCAGGCAATCCTTGCCTTGGCCTCCCAAAGTGCTGGGATTACAGTCATGAGCCACCGTGCCCGGCCACAGCCAAATCGTTCTTACCGCCTACAGACAGGGGCAGTGTTTCCCAGACTGAGTTCCTTAGAGCACCGCTTCAGTGAGAATCTACAGCAGTTTATAGGTTTTGGCAACTTGCCATTATAATTTGCTGTGAATTTTATTTCTTATATGTGTATCAGATAATTGTGATCTTATGATCAATAGTAATTTATGTTCAGTGAAATATGGTAAATGTCATTAAAAGAAGGCATAAGTCGCGGAAAACAGATGAAGTAATCATTTGTAGGCAGTACTCTCACATGTTTTTAAAATCCAGCCAAAAGACTTCTAGAGCCAATAATTCTAGCACCTGAAAGGTGTGGCCCTCCTAAACCCAGCTGTGGCCCCTGAACTGTCAGCAGCAGGCGGGACCATGCTGTCTCCGTCCTTCCCAGTGTCTCTTCAAGTGACGGATGCCGGAGCTCTCAGCAAAATCTGACAAACAAGAAAGCGACATCGCGGGGGAAAAGATCTCAACTAAGTTCTAGAATAAGTGCTCATGAAGATAGTCCAGAACCTATTTGGAGAAGATTGTGTGGAGAATACGGAGAGATCTGAATAAAGAGAGGGATCCACATTCCTCAACAGGAGGCTTAATATTCTTCTCTCTCTCTCTCTCCGCTCTCTGTTGTTGTTTTTTTGAGACAGAGTCTTTACTATGTTGCCCAGGCTGGCCTTGAACTCCTGGACTCAAGGGATCTTCCTACCTCAGCCTCCTGAGTACCTGTTTCTCTCTCTTTTTTTTTTTTTAGTCAGAGTCTATCACCCAGTCTGGAGTGCAGTGGCGTACTCACCGTCACCTGCCTCAACCTGCTGGTCTCAGGGAATCCTTCAGCCTCAGCCTTTCAAGGAGCTGGAACCCCGCGATGCGACACCATGCCCGGCTCATTTTCTGATTTATTGTAGAGGCGAGGTCTCGCCAAGTTGCCCGT